AAGTGGCTTGGGCTAGTTGGCAAAAAGTGGCTAAACCTTGCGAGGCTGGTGGTTTAGGTTTTAAAGGATTGCATCAGATGCAGCACATTACCTGTGTAAGCTGTGGATTAAATTCAGACAAAATGAAAGCTTATGGGCCAATTTCATGCAAGCCAAATACTGCAAGTTTGTCCACCCTGGGGAGGTCACTAGGAAGGTGGGAGACTCCAAAATTTGGGTTCAGATGCTCAAGGCCAGAGAAGACATTGATAAGCTACTAAGATGGGAGTTAGGACAAGGGAATAATAATTTCTAGAAAGACAACTGGTGTTCTAATGACTGTTTGGAACCTCTGGAGGATGAAAAGGAGGGGGATTTATTGGTCAAGGATTGTTGGGTTGACAATGTTTGGTCTGAGGACTTCTTGAGGGGTTTACTGAAGGAGCAGTCTGCTAGCTACATCTCTACTATTCAATTTGACAGAAAAAATAAAGAGAAACTCAACTGCTGAACAGGACTAATGCTAGTATCTCTAAAGACATTCAGAATTACCTGTATAGCTGGGTTTCTTGCCACTGGAACATCTCCACTTGCCAAAAACATCTCACGCCCTCTATGTTGTTCTTCTCTTGGAGAGTTATCAAAAACCTTCTGCCAACTGATGATATCCTGAAACTAAAAGGCCTGAAAGACCCTTCAAGATGCTATTTATGTAAGCTAGATCAGGACATAAGGGATCACCTTTTCTTCAAGTGTAACTTTTCCAAGGAGGTTTGGAGTAAACTAACTTCCTAAATGAACATAAATCTGATTAACGTTGGCTGGGACAACATTATTGACTGCATTAAAGATTGGAAAGGGATAAACCTCAAACCAATTCCCTTCATTGTGGCTTGGTTTATTTGGATGGCTAGAAACATGACCAAACATGAGGATAGGGAGGCCAGTGCTACATGTCTGATGACTAACTGCTGGGCTTACCTAAACAAACTAATACACTGGAGGAAGTTCCCCATGATCCTGCAGAACACAACTTACATGGGTGCTAATCACATTGAAATTATCAAGGTGAGATGGGAGAGTCCTCCTTATCCTTTGATTAAAATTAACACTGATGGAAGCTACAAAAATAAGAGAGCAGGTATTGGGGGAATTTTTAGAGATCACAAAGGGAAGACTTTGCTATTCTACAAAGCCCCTTATATAGCTGAGGATGCTTTGGAAACTGAAGCTGCTGCTCTATTTTGGGCTTTAAATTTTGCTAAGATGAATAATTGGCAGTGGATTGTTGCTGAAATGGACTCCTCCCTGCTGGTGGAGCTACTCAATTCTAAGATGTCTTCCTCTTGGCATATCAATCAATGGATCCACAGAATTAAAAAGCTCAGCACTGAAAGCAAGATTCATTTTTCATTTGTGTATAGGGAAGCTAATAGACCTTCCAATTTCCTAGCTATAGAAGGTGCTAATGTTGATCATCCTGAGGTTTCCACAACCCTCTCCCCCTTCCTACACTTACTAACTAAGGGGGACAAGCTTCAGATTCCTTACCTCAGAGAACAAAAATGATTGCTGGGGCTGTGGTTGTGGCCATGAACAGTCTTGTTCTGATGCTGAGTTTGTGTCTCTTCTTGCTATTGGGAGTTCAGATGTTTAGTTTTGCTTGGGAGCT